AGTGAAGCACCTCCAGTCGCTTTTCAAGCGGCAGGAAGTCCCTGCAAGCTGCGCAAGCTGCGCCAGGGTTGGCCTGTGGCATCTTATGTGAAGAAGCACGAAGCGCATGGAAGACGCGTGGGCTCGGCAAGCAAGTGCTGGTTCTGTTGGTCATCAACTTAACAGTTACACTGTCCGGCTGTGAAGAACGGGGGGGGGGAGAAACAGACGCTCCCCTCCTTTTTGCGGCCAAGTTGGAATCATGGAGAGCGAGCCGTGCGCACGCGACGTTTGTCAACTAGGGGCTGAACATGTTCACCGCGCAGGGTTCAAACGTAGAAACTCCTTTGGATTTTTTCGAGGGGTCTGAGTTTGCGTCTCACAGGTCCCCTTTTCCAAAATTATCCCACTCGGAAGTGATTTCCCATAGCTCGACTGGATGGCCTCTGAGTTCACGGCACATGTTAAGGAAGCCCCGGACCTTGCGATAAGTCGGTTTTTGGAGGGAGCCTTTGAAGCTAGGAGTTTTAGGGTAGGGTCGGTGTATTCCCTTGGAAGGGACGGGATAAGTTGAGTGGCATTTTAGGCAAAGGTTGCGCGGTAGCCAGACCACCAAAGGTTTGTCGGTTTGGTAGCAAGGGACTTCTGGCAGGAAGTCGCAAAGTTGCCCGAAACCCACGTTTTTTTTTGAGAGATGTCCGAGTCTTACAAAGCAATGGGGTTCATTTGGGCTAATCATTGGGTTTATAGTGGTTTTAAAACAATGGCTGGGTGAATTGCTTGACATAACCATTATATACCCTTCAGAGTGTTTGGGTTGTGCCGTCAACGGTTCTATTATTTTCCCCTTAGGATGTTCATCCAGATTCCTTGCCATTCTTGAACTGCGCGTGCTTTTTTCTAGGACATTTTTTGTTTTAGTGGACTGAACGTTGCAAACCCTTAAAGGAGCACCACCGGTCTTGGTCAGACGCCTATTGTGCAGACCCAAATGACGGACCGGCCTCGCCTCGCAGGGCGCTCCCCGCCAGTGCCATCGAGGAGTGCCAAACTGCCCGGGTCCCCCGGAGGGAGGGAGGGAGCCCCAATGAACATCCCAATCCAACCACTAAATTAGGTCCCAAAATGGGTGGACGTGCTCAAAACCGATTCGTGTAGAAGGTTAAGGGACCATCCCAGCCAGAAACAGCGGCGGGAATCCGCCTTTCTATTTCCTCACCTCCTCGGTCGGCCAAACGAAAAAATCCGGGCTTTGCTTTGTCGAAACCAACTCCTGATGGGTTTGAAGGGGAAAAGCCACCTGGAAACCCCTCGACTTTCACGGGGCCTTTGGAACGAAAGGGGAATCTCTGAGACCTCCCTGGGGGTTGTCACGGTAATATGAATCGGGGTGCAAAACAAGGGCCCAGGTGTGTGTTTGCTATTGATGGGGAACTGGGGAAGCCCGGTTTTCCGATTGAAGACCCAAAGCTGTTCAACCCAGCGGCAGTTTTTTCCTCGTGACCCTGACATTTGTTCAGTCTTCCTCTTCAGGACGCCTTTGAGCCACTCTCACCATGACAACCATGTCCCAAGACAACCCTCAAACCCTGTTTTTTGTTCGGTCCCCAAGGGTCAATGTAAGGGCTACCTTTTTTGAAGCAGAACCTGGGTTTGTCGTTTTTGAGTTGGTACCCCTTTTGGCGTGGTTTTAAATGGCAACCCGAAAAGAAAACGAAAACCGTTGTTTGGTGTCCCCTATTCTAAGACACTCCAAAAGGGGTAGCCTTCAACAACGGGAAGTGTGTTTTTGGGCGGTGCTGACCTATTTTACGGCACGCCCACCTGTTTGGCTGAGTCTTTTTTTTGAAGTTGGTACCCTGGTTTGGTTGGCTTTTGCAAAACCGGAAACCACCAGGAAAACCGCAGACCGCAAGAATATTGGGTTTTTTTCCCAAAAAAAGAGGCGACGCCGCAAAGTCTCCTCCTTTCTGTCCCCGAAAAAAGCAAGAGAGAGAGACAGCTCGGCATCTCGGTCCCTCAGCTTGGCTGTTGGGGTCCATGTGGCGTTGGGTGAAAAATCGGGTAACCCCAAAATGGAATGTTAAGAGGGAACATGGACTGAAACATCTGCGGTCCATATCCTGGTGGTATTTTTTGACCGGCCATGTAACCCACAAGTTCAGCTTTCAGCGCAAAATCTGAGGGCCCGGTCGACTCGACTCGAAGCTCGAGGCGCGGTACCCCTCGCAGTGTCTGGAGCGTGCCACCTTCACCACCCTGGCAGCCCTCGGCATCCAAGAGCCACCCGGACGGACGGTCAGCCAAAAGGGAAATCTGATGTATTGTGTATTTATGTTTATTATTATTTGTTTGGGGGGGGTCCCCTAAAAAAGACATCCATACTTTAGAGCCTCCGGCTCAGTCCGCCGACATTGTCCTCTCCCTTTTCTCCGTCTTCCTCTCTTCCTTGTCTCCCTTGTGTGTTCTGTCGTCCTCTCTCCCTCCCTCTGCTCCCATCCTCCCCATCCCCCCAAGCCTCTCTCTCCCCAATCTCCTTCTCTCGTATGTATGCATGCATGTACATATGTATGCATGCATGCATGCATGCATGCATGCATGTATGTATGTATGTATGTATGTATGTATGTATGTATGTATGTATGTATGTATGTATGTATGTATGTAATGTAATGTATGTATGTATGTATGTATGTATGTATGTATGTATGTATGTATGTATGTATGTATGTATGTATGTATGTATGTATGTATGTATGTATGTATGTATGTATGTATGTATGTATGTATGTATGTATGTATGTAATGTATGTATGTATGTATGTATGTATGTATGTATGTATGTATGTATGTATGTATGTATGTATGTATGTATGTATGTATGTATGTAATGTAATGTAATGTATGTATGTAATGTAATGTAATGTAATGTAATGTAATGTAATGTAATGTAATGTAATGTAATGTAATGTAATGTAATGTAATGTAATGTAATGTATGTATGTATGTATGTATGTATGTATGTATGTATGTATGTATGTATGTATGTATGTATGTATGTATGTATGTATGTATGTATGTATGTATGTATGTATGTATGTATGTATGTATGTATGTATGTATGTATGTATGTATGTATGTATGTATGTATGTATGTATGTATGTATGTATGTATGTATGTATGTATGTATGTATGTATGTATGTATGTATGTATGTATGTATGTATGTATGTATGTATGTATGTATGTATGTATGTATGTATGTATGTATGTATGTATGTATGTATGTATGTATGTATGTATGTATGTATGTATGTATGTATGTATGTATGTATGTATGTATGTATGTATGTATGTATGTATGTATGTATGTATGTATGTATGTATGTATGTATGTATGTATGTATGTATGTATGTATGTATGTATGTATGTATGTATGTATGTATGTATGTATGTATGTATGTATGTATGTATGTAATGTATGTATGTATGTAATGTAATGTATGTAATGTAATGTAATGTAATGTAATGTAATGTAATGTAATGTATGTATGTATGTATGTATGTATGTATGTATGTATGTATGTATGTATGTAATGTATGTATGTATGTATGTATGTATGTATGTATGTATGTATGTATGTATGTATGTATGTATGTATGTATGTATGTATGTATGTATGTATGTATGTATGTATGTATGTATGTATGTATGTATGTATGTATGTATGTATGTATGTATGTATGTATGTATGTATGTATGTATGTATGTATGTATGTATGTATGTATGTAATGTAATGTAATGTAATGTATGTATGTATGTATGTATGTATGTATGTATGTATGTATGTATGTATGTATGTATGTATGTATGTATGTATGTATGTATGTATGTATGTATGTATGTATGTATGTATGTATGTATGTATGTATGTATGTATGTATGTATGTATGTATGTATGTATGTATGTATGTATGTATGTATGTATGTATGTATGTATGTATGTATGTATGTATGTATGTATGTATGTATGTATGTATGTATGTATGTATGTATGTATGTATGTATGTATGTATGTATGTATGTATGTATGTATGTATGTATGTATGTATGTATGTATGTATGTATGTATGTATGTATGTATGTATGTATGTATGTATGTATGTATGTATGTATGTATGTATGTATGTATGTATGTATGTATGTATGTATGTATGTATGTATGTATGTATGTATGTATGTATGTATGTATGTATGTATGTATGTATGTATGTATGTATGTATGTATGTATGTATGTATGTATGTATGTATGTATGTATGTATGTATGTATGTATGTATGTATGTATGTATGTATGTATGTATGTATGTATGTATGTATGTATGTAGTATGTATGTATGTATGTATGTATGTATGTATGTATGTATGTATGTATGTATGTGTATGTATGTATGTATGTATGTATGTATGTATGTATGTATGTATGTAATGTATGTATGTATGTATGTATGTATGTATGTATGTATGTATGTAATTATGTATGTATGTATGTATGTATGTATGTATGTATGTATGTATGTATGTATGTATGTATGTATGTATGTATGTATGTATGTATGTATGTATGTATGTATGTATGTATGTATGTATGTATGTATGTATGTATGTATGTATGTATGTATGTATGTATGTATGTATGTATGTATGTATGTATGTATGTATGTATGTATGTATGTATGTATGTATGTATGTATGTATGTATGTATGTATGTATGTATGTATGTATGTATGTATGTATGTATGTATGTATGTATGTATGTATGTATGTATGTATGTATGTATGTATGTATGTATGTATGTATGTATGTATGTATGTATGTATGTATGTATGTATGTATGTATGTATGTATGTATGTATGTATGTATGTATGTATGTATGTATGTATGTATGTATGTAATGTAATGTAATGTAATGTAATGTAATGTAATGTATGTAATGTATGTATGTATGTATGTATGTATGTATGTATGTATGTATGTATGTATGTATGTATGTATGTATGTATGTATGTATGTATGTTATGTATGTAATGTATGTATGTTTGTATGTATGTATGTATGTATGTAATGTATGTATGTATGTATGTATGTATGTATGTATGTATGTATGTATGTATGTATGTATGTATGTATGTATGTATGTATGTATGTATGTATGTATGTATGTATGTATGTATGTATGTATGTATGTATGTATGTATGTATGTATGTATGTATGTATGTATGTATGTATGTATGTATGTATGTATGTATGTATGTATGTATGTATGTATGTATGTATGTATGTATGTATGTATGTATGTATGTATGTATGTATGTAATGTATGTATGTATGTATGTATGTATGTATGTAATGTATGTATGTATGTATGTATGTATGTATGTATGTATGTATGTATGTATGTATGTAATGTATGTATGTATGTATGTATGTATGTATGTATGTATGTATGTATGTATGTATGTATGTATGTATGTATGTATGTGCATTGCTGTATTTCCCGCAAAAAAAACACGGTTTTTCCAGCGTTTTCGCAAAGAGGACGTCCAAAAACATTGAGTTTTTCCAGATTTTCGGCAAAAGGATGCAGGAAGCCCAAGCCAGCAAAAAAGCCGGCAGGGGGAATCGAGCCTGGGACCCCTGTTTTGCGACACCGGCTCCCCGAAGACTACGTTTAGTGGAACGTCATCAAATTGCCGCGCGGTACGTGGGGGACCCCCCCCCCCCAAAAACCTACGTAATAGACGTCGGGCGGGGGGGGGTTAGGGGGGGGGTTATCCTCTATCCTCTAGTAAGTATCCGACACGCCGAGCAATGTCGGCGGATAAATGTTGTTTAAGTATGTATGTGTGTATACATATAATTATATATATACATACACGTATTTTCGCAAGTGTGCAATTATACTTATATATCATATATTGCTTAGAACTAGTCATGAACATACAGCGATTTTGAATTCTATCAGTGGCAGCACCTCGGACGTGGTCATGACTCCCCGCCAAAGTCTGATGTCAATTTCGAGCCCGGGACCGTGAAGACAATCGCACCCATTCCCATAGATCCTCGAAAGTTGGTGAAACAAACCCTGCAAAAAATGGGAAGCGAACCATGGGAGAACAGATTGGGGAACCAACCCTTGGATAATTCTGAATAGTTGCAACATATTCAACATATTGACTTAGTTGTAGCTGTAAGATATATGGAAGCGTGCCAATGGACAATCCGAGTCCAAAGATCCAAATAGCCATAAAGTACTGAACTACCTACTCTGGGCTGCCGTCAGATCCCTTGCTTAAAGGTTTAACTTTTAGGGGGTTAAATGAAAACTGCAACACTAAACACTGAAAAGCTGAAAGGCTGAGGGGATGGCTGGGAGCCACCAAGTACTAAGGTGGACAGAGGTTTGGTCATCCGTCCGGTGCATGTCCCACGGCCGGCACCAAAACCAACGAGACCACAAGAAGTAAAACGTTGTGCAGAGGGATCAAAAGCAACCAAGTGTCTACCTGATTTCATGGGGAATATAGCAAGGGCCGTATGATATGCCTTTGTAATGCTGGCCAACAGTTTCTCATGTTGGGATGTTGGTTGGGCCGCTAATGGTAATAAACCCATCCTACAGAAAGGTGTCACACACACAAGAGGGCTCCAAATTCTCACTAAACGAGGACAGGTAAGATGGGAAATAGAACCCTCAAACCGTTTGGGTCTGTCTAAAAACAGGGGAACCTCTGATGGTTTTCCTGTTGGTTTACCTTCAAAAGAAAGTGAAAAGGGCACCCTTAAGAAAACTCGCCGTGTAGCGAAGTAGTGGGCACAGGACTATAGAAAGGTCGATTTGAGCAGTGGCAAAAGGTTGAGCCTGTAGAACATGAGGGTGTGTGCGGCAACAGCCATTTCAATGCGTCGTTCTGGGCAGGGACGCTGTAAAAAGGGAAGCCAAGAAAAGTCACCCTTCAATAGTTCCCATCTCAGAGACATCTCTTTGAGCCCAAATTCATTTTCCCTTTGGTTCCCCACTACAAATGGTCAACCCCCAAACAGGTTGCCAAATTTTCTACCGCTGAACTGGTTTAGTTCTTCTCAAGCGGACAGATCTCCCGCTCGATTCGGATTAGGTCCTGGGCCAATGTGGTGACTCTGATCTCGGACAAAGAGTTCATCACTCGCCTGGAGGAGCCGGACAGTCCTGTTGGCCAAGGGCTCCAGGGCTCCCGAGATGGGTTGTCCCTTTTGTTGGTGGGGAGGAAAACGTCACTCCAAAGGCAACCACCCTTTTTCATCGGCCACTGTGGGGGGATGGTGGCATGGTCTGTTGGCTTCCTTTTTTTTGCCCACGCCTTCGATGTGTCACATACTTCTTTTGATGGTACGCCCGTCGTGGTTGGTTTTATTTGGATTCTAAAAGGAAAGCCACCAGTTCCGGGGTCCCCTAAAAACGACGCCCAAATAGCCGAGTTTCGCCTGTTTGGGCAAACGGAAGCATAACTGCCCAAAAGGAAGCCCGCTTGCCAGGCTCTTTGCACCACAAGTACCTTCCTTTGGCAGTCCAGAATAAATAGATGTGGAGAGTTTTGGGAGCTGGATTTGGGTCGCCACTTTTCTTTGACTTTGATACCAAGGGGATCCCCTTGAAAGATAGAGCCTGGCGCGGCATTGCGGAACGCGGCACAGTCCGCAACCACGCGCATAAGACCGAAATGGACATCATTTGAGTCGCCGTGACTGAACATGGACCATGGGGTGCTGTTCGAGGCTCTAGTGGACGTTTACTGTAAGTGTCTAGTGGGTGAGTACCGGGTCGCTAGCAGTCTGGATGCGGCCCTCTCGTTCCATAGCTTCAACCTTGAGGCACACGATAAGCACGAGGGCAGGGCACAAATGGATTCGGAATGGGTCCATCAGTTTTCGCCCAGCTGCTGTTTGCTCCGTGTGCTCGGTTGCTTGTTTGGTTTTGTGGCGTCCATGCGAACAGGAGATCGACTTGGCCGGCGAGCCAGAGCGCGCGGTCGGGGCGCCCGATCGATCTGGCGGGCGGATGCTTGAGCCGCTTGCCCCCTGGATTGCGGTTGGCACCATCTCGAGTTGTTTGCCCTCGACTAACATGATGCACAGAAGAAAGGTGAATAATGTCAAAGCCCTGGTTGGGGTTCAACGTTGACCAAGTATTGGTCTGTTGTTAAAAAGGACACCGTCGCCAGTTTCGGTGGCCGAATTATTTTTTGCAAAACGCCCACAGCCACTTGGCCCAAGACCCGGGTGAGGAGAATAGATTGAGCTAGTTGTTGTTTGCATAGCTTTGGCTGGACCACTTCGGTATCACCTTTTGATTCTCTATTTTAGTGGGGATTGGGATGTTCACTGGGGGTACGGGATTTTGACCCATGGCCAAATGAATCAGTAGAAAACAAGGTGTCCAGCTCTTTGGACTTCCCGAAGACTTTTCCGCAACGAAGCTGGGCGGTCGGAATGTCCCAGCGGAAAGCCTCAGTTGTTCAAAGCCGACCTTTTAACCTTTTGGCTTTCCAGTTTTGGTCCACTTTTCGTCAAGGTCCCAACAGCTGACGGCCTTTTATGTTCAAGTCTAGGTCCCCCGGTAGTGCCCTTTTGCCCTTTTTTTTGGGGGGGGGGGGGGGGGGGTTCCCCTACTAAAATTGACTACAGCAAAAAGTGGGTACCCTTATTCTAACCTCTCTACTGGAGGACCTAGAAGTCCATTGGGCAACTCAGAAGCAAACTGGGGTGCATAGATGTCCTTTTTAGATGGCGATTCCTGGTTTGCCTGGTGGTTTAATCATCTACCAGGGCCATCTATTGCCCCTAAAAGGACGCCTATGCTGGGGCGGCAAGAACCAGAGGTCAAAAACCGATCATTCCAGCGGAGGCCTTGGTGCAGGAACGCCTGGAACAGCCACCAGCTCAGAGCCGTCGAGTTTCGGCGGGTGCCAATCACTGGGGTCCTGGTTGTGATTCGATTTCTGGGGGTAGTCAGAGTTGTTCAGTTCAATTCAAATCAGTTCAATTAAATCCAACATATGTCAATTCAATCCAATCTATCTCTGTTCCAATAAAAAAATGAACTTGGGTTCTCATTGACGGAGAGGCCGGTCAGACTGCTTCGGTTCTCTTTCCACATCTTGTCAAAGTCAACAAGTGGAATTGGTGGGTTCCCTTCCTACCATAGTGGCACTCTGATGGTAACATCATTGGGCCACCAATGCTCCAAGTCCACTCGACAACCCGAAGAGGCCGATCAAAGTCCGTGGGCGGTGTTGAAACTCTGGGTATGTCCATAGTACCCTCTGTTTTAGGATATTGTTTGCAAAATGGTTGTCCATGGTAAACACCTCCTTATTTAGTGGAGGCTTGACATGATACCCCAAAAGAAGGCAAGTATTCGCAGCGCAAGTCAGAGGGGAGCGCTTTCCGGGGTTGCCCCTTCCCCATCTCTGGCGGTAGCATGCCTCCAAAAAGGTCGTCGTGACCCAAGTCCTTCGATTTGGCCAGCCCTTTGAAACTCAACGGAAGCCAAGCACTGCGATTCGTTGGGCTCAAATTTTAAAATGAGCGTGTCTTTTTGTTGAGACCCCAAAACGGTGGCGACCTCAAAACCACAAGAAAGGCGGTTCCCCAAATTTTCCACCCCTCAAAAGAGCTTCATATATGGCTCTTGGGATTTCGAACGTCTAGGAGGGCCGTCACTGCCAAAATCCGCCGTCTTCTCTTATGTCCAGGGTGAAAAAAGCGGTTGCTTATGGAAAACCTCCCGCTCATCTTTGCTCCCGGAAGCGACAGGAAGCGAGTTGCGAGTGCCAACGCCACTTCCGCGTTTGTGGGAAGTGGTTCCGGCCGGGACCCGGAAGGCGGCATTCTTGCACGAGCGAGCGGCCAGCGAAAGGCCGACGAGTCGTGGGGTTTGCGAAGCTGCGAAACTGCGGAGCTCTTGGGAAGAGCCGCGGAACGAGGCGTCGTTCTAGCCTCACCTCCGTGTTCTGGCCGGAAAGGGCTCAGCTTGAGGCGGAGGCTTGGGCATGTGGGGTTTCCCTGCACAATAATTATCACTTAACTGACTCTGGTCAAATTTCATGCTTGGGATTTACTTCTCTCTCTTTTTGGGGTGTTTCTTGCATTGATCTGCAGAACCCGTTTTGAAGGTCGGAGTCTTCTTGAACAATTCAGCCTTCGGATTCGTGGAGTAAGCCTTTGCTTTCCTAGGGCCCAGTGCAGGATTTCCTCGATCCCCTTTCGGAACCTCCAAAAGTGTCGGGTTTCAATCGAAACCACCAGCACCAGTCAAATGATCAACCTTTGATTTGGTTTCTTCCGCCCCCATGCCCCCTGCGTTTTTTCTACCTTCTCTTAGTCACAGGCATCTTGGTTTTTGCCGGTGGAATCTCCTCCTTTTCCTTGCCCTAAACCCTAAACCCTGTGTTTTTGGTTTGGACAGATTTCAACCATGGGCTCCTTTTGCCCTGGCGTTTCCCTCGAAAAATCACAAAGCCCGTGGGGTTTGTATCATATCCAACCAGCTTGCGTTGCTTCTATTTCCGCCCCAAAACACCACCTGCGACAGTTCCCTTCCGCCCAAGCGACCCCAACCACAATCCACCAGACCCGTCCAAACGACGCCCACCGCGCCGCTCGCTCGCTCGCTCGCTCGCTCGCGCTCGAGGCTGGAGGCCCTGGGCGGCCTCAGCGAGGAGCCGGGCAGCGCCTTGGGCGCCGCGCTGCAGAGCTGGGCCGAGGCCTTCGTGGCCGCCGCCGCTTGGGCGAACCCAGCGGAGGGAGCGAGCGGAGCGCGACGGACGGACGGGGAGCGGCTGGGAGGATGCGGATGGGATGGTGGTTTCTCAATTTTGTTTAGGGGGTTTTCGGGGCCGTCCGCTTTGACGGCGTGGTTAGACAAAAAGAAAAACAACTTTTAGCAGGGGATCTGGGAACGGGCCAGGTCCTGCCAGGTACTCATGTCCAAATTGAGAGGGACAAGGAAAGCTGAAATCCATGTTGAAAGTCCCAGTCCTGTATTTTGGAGGGTGTTCCATTTGGGGTGAACCCCGAACCTACCCATCCAAACCGAGGAGTGAACAAATGAATTTCCTGCATGCCCTCACCCAAGCAAGGCCAAAGCTGATTGCTTTTCCACTAAAATGGATCTGCGATAAAACAGGGGCCCCACGCAAACTGTGGTTTCCTTCTGGTTCCCTTTCACACCACCCCCAAAACGGGTACCACAAAAAACGGTTACCCAAATGAACTTCCAGCATCCAGGATGTTTCCTCATGCGCTGTTTTTGTTGATGGTTTTGAACAGCACCCAAAAGAATGGAAAGCCTGGATCCGAATCATTTGGTTTCGGGTACATTCTTTTGGGCTTCCAATACCTGACAGGGGGTCCACCATGTTCCTTTTCAAGGGACCTTCTGTCAAATTCCATGTGAATTGGTGGGAGGGAAATCGCCTTTCAAATGCAGACTCGATCCGGGCAACTGGAAACCACTAAAAGGGGACACACCGACTATCAACCACGCGCTCTGCTCAGTTGGGGTTCGAGTAGTACGTCCAAGTCAACCCCGAGTTGGATCAGACCCCCCCAAAAAAAAACCAACACGTGGTTTCCCGATGGGTTACCTTCAAATTCACCGCACAAAGTGGGTTCCTGAGCAAGTTCCAAAAAAGACGAGCCACCCGCTACGCACACCCGGTGAGCTACCCACCCCTTCTTCCGCTTTGTTTGGAGAGGGGGACCCTGGAAGGTCAACCCACAAAGTCAGCTTCAGCCAGAAATTCCAAGGGATACCGCCCTGTTTTGGGCCCCCGCTCTCATTCAGCCACGGCGCAGAAACTGCACCCCAAGCCCGCGAACCCTTCGACTGTTGAATCCTTTCTTGCCTTTGCAATAGCGCACAGTGTCTGTTCGATGCAGCAATTTATTGGGGGAGGGGGAAAGAAGGAGGCCCCAAAAACAAACAAGTCAGTGTATCAACATCCCCAGCACAATAGAAATAGAGATGCATCAACATCCGCATCCGATAGTCCGATTAGATATTCCTGCCACACACGACCTTTTGGCTTGACAAATGGGTTTATTGAACCCCCAGCGGGGCGGGAGCAACCCTGGACTCATCGAGTTGTCCAAAGTTCTTGTCCCATGCCAGCATGTCCCATGTAGCAACTCCCGATCATTTGTTGGGCCATGAAGTTAAAGTAGGCACCCCCGTTCGTAAACATGAAGTTTTTCATAGGAACACCCCTCGCTTTGACATAAATCCCCTCTCTGTCCAGGTCCCAAAAGGACCCACATCTCATACCCAGAAAAAGCCTCGAGTGAGGTGAAGACCTGGAACTCTGCCCGGGCCTCGCAGATCGGAAAAGACGACGACGGAACGGATTGATCCCTTTCGGTGGCCAGGTTCGGTCAGTTCATTGGATGGGTTGGTTGGGTTGGGTTGGGTTGGGTTGGTGGGGTTGCTTGACTTGGAATTTGGTAGGCGTTTGCCCGTGCCATGAATCTGTTTCCAAAACACCTAGGCCCAACCAGCCAAGCCATAGGCAACTCCATGATAAGGTCACATAAGGGGCTAGACCAAGACCTCAAGTGGTGTTTTTGTTTTTTGTTCTCTCTCTTTTTCTACTACCATCAACGAGGACCAAAACGAGCGCCTCGTTTTGCCCATGTCTGGGGGCCTGGGTAGATAATCACCCACAGGTTGTTCTCTTATGATTACTTAACTTGGTTTTACAATGCCCACCAACCCATTCTGCTCATTTGGGCCCTTGTAATAGTCTCGTTGGGCGAATCATTCAATGGAACTGCATAAACTCTCTCGGAAATGATTGTTGGACACACATCCTATGTAGATGATGTCCATTACAGGGCCCCCGGGACCCATGACTATTCACCGAGTACCACGCTTTTCCCTCTCTCTTTCTGCATGGGGCGACGACGGAACCTGGATTCCTCTGGTCAGAGGAGGGTCTGGGGCGGTCCATTCGCGGTTTTGGCAGGGAAGTCCAAACCGGAATCCCCCAATGCGGATCAGTACGGATTCCTGGATTGGAACTCGATGCCTCTCCTTCCCCTTGCGCCCAAAAAACAAGTGGCACTTCTGCAGCTGCCGAGTTGTTTTTGGGCCTATGTCCTGATGCACTTGGTCTCGGTCGCTTTTGCCAGGGAGTGAGCAAGTTGGACCCCTGAGCACTGCTTTCCCTTTGGCTTCCCTTTGAAACCACCCTCTTTTCGGGCTGCCCAAATTTGCCTGGGGGCACGGAACCGGAAAGCCAAGAGACGGGGGTTCATCCACCTAACTCAAGGGTTCCAGGTTTGAGTCACTTGGGCGTGGACGTACCCACTCGATCGGGAGTGAGGATAAACTGGAGTGTAGAACCTCAGTGAGGTCCAAACCATCCAATTCTCAACGAAATGCAGGGTGAGAATGCAAAATGCGCTTCTTCCAAATGAATTGTCCGTCGAGTTGACAATTGTTAAAACATGATTCGTAAATTTCTTCAGCTAGCAACAGCAACTTGCCTTTTCTTCACTTTTGCTCAGATCCCTGGCCAATTCTTGTGGGAGTTTCTCAAATTCGGAAGCCGTTGCCATTTTAGAAGACCAAGCCGCATTTTGAGACATGTGTGTGTGTGTGTGTGTGTTTAGGTGTGTGTGTGTGTGTTTCCTCTTAAAATGCATGTGTTCCTTTTGGTTTCCCTTGAACGACCAACCAAAAGGAGAACGCCAACTCAAAAAACCCGAGACTCCCAAGACGACTTCCGAACCGAGTTTGCTGACCGACTCCCATGCCCAGGTTCAGGAGGATGTGGCAGCTTTGCGCAAGGTTGAGGACCTGTGAAGGGTCTGGGGTCGGCTCATATGGCCATGGGTCATAACATGCATTTCTCCATTTTGGGGCGGATGAATACCCATGTACCACCTATTTTGATGTTCACCCGGGGTTTCCTGGGTTTTGACCCACAGCCATATGCCGGCGGGTCTTGTTCTTGGGGTCTCACACAAACCCTAAGAAACCACCAGTTGCATTGTGTGAACCCTCGTGGGCCCTCTGTTCTTGGCTGAGTTCAAAGAGAAACCAGGAAAACCGACCTGTCGTGACGGCGCGGAGTGAGGAAAGTTCACAGTGCCTGGAGGTTGCAATAGAACACCCCATTCCAAGGGCTTCAAAAAAAATTTCAGGCCCATAAAAATGTGGCCTCTCATTCTGGTTGCGTAAAAGGTCCCAACGTCCCATTCGTTTTTTGGTGTTGGCCATCACCTCAGCAAAATCCAGTGAGTTTCCCAACGCCCGGCGCCACACCCAGGTCTTGGCCGACTCAAGGGCCTTTTTGGTTCCCATAAACCTCGAAACTTACTAATTTTGTGGTTTTTCCCCAACAGCTGAAAGCTTTGGGGTCTCAGCCCAGATAGGCTTCGGGGTGGTCCGGGGCGGCCCTGAGGTAAGGTTCCACCAGGGTTCCACCAGGGTTCCACCCAGGGTTCCACGAGGTTCTGCGAGGGCTGCGGGGTGGGAGGGGGGCAACCCAACAGGCAACCCACCCAGTTTGGGGAGCTCCACTCAAAATACGACACACCCGCCCTTTCCCGGGGCCCAGAGGTGGCTGAGAGTGGAGAACCTGAAAAACCTGATCAAAGGAGTGTATTGGGTTCACATGGGTAGTCCCTTTGAGCCAGCCATGATTCATGATCAGTTCACCCATCATCATCCTCATCCTCATCCAGGACGTTTTTTTTTTTTTTTTTTTTTTTCATCCATTGCCAAAATGAATTGGAGACGCCCGCTTTCGGCACCCTCGGAGTTTCCTTAGAGTTGGTCGCCCTGAAGCGTCGCTTTTGATCTGTCGCTGCAGCACCGTTCAATCTGCAGGCGGGGCAGCCTGCAAAATGATGTCGCTGCATCACCTGCATCCGCTAATCTAGAAACCGTTTTGGATGCGCCTTTTGTGCATTTCACCTGTTCTTCCCCCTGTTGGTCCTTTTTTAGTACTCTTTTGTACTCTTTTAACCTTCTACAGGGGTGGAACCACAAAAGCCACATCCAAACCGTTTTCTAGAGCTAAACTCTTCAATCTGCAGGCAAGCAACCTGCAGATGTATGTCGCTTCATCACCTGCATCTGCTAAGCTCTTCAATCTGCAGGCAAGCAACCTGCAGATTCATGTCGCTGCATCACCTGCATCCGCTAAACTCTTCAATCTGCAGGCTGGCAACCTGCAGATTTATGTCGCTGCATCACCTGCATCCGCTAAACTCTGCAATCTGCAGGCCAAAACAGCGCCCTATTTCGAGAATTCAAATAGCACCCCCCCATGTCCGGAGGGGTCGGCTCCAATTGCCTAATTTCTGAATATGTGTGCGTGTATTCTTCGGTTTTTTTGATTCTGACCTCCCCCTTAGCCGATGGCTTGTGCCCAAAAAGTGTCGCCTACCCTCAAAACATGCAAGACATGCGAACTCTACGCCTCTCTCCGAACTCCTCTTTTCCCCCTCCCCCGAGAAGAAAGAAAAAAAAGGGAAGGAGGGAAGAAACGCGCGCTTTACAAAGCTGCTTGAACGCAAAAGCCTTTGTTTTGTTTGGTTTCAGCCGAGCCTGATGCGCAGGAGGCGCATCACCACAAGCTCGAGGAGCTGGACGAGGCCAACGAGGCCGGGCGCGACGGGTGCTTTGGCGTGCTGAAAGGGGTCGGAGGGGTCGGTTTTGGTAGGTTTGAGGAAGCCAGGGTAGGTGTTTGTAGGAGTTTGTAGTTTTTTTGTTAAACATTTTTTTGTATTATTTGTTTGCCAAAAGGGGTCGGAAGCATCTCTTTCAGGGGGAAACTGGGTAGATTTTAAAGGGAAATGGCAGCAAGCTTCGTGTTGAGGATATAAGTTTTTATTTTGACACACGCCCATGTTTGAGTTTGGATTTCATACAGCCCAAAACAATCCACCTTTCGCTTTCCTAGCCTAAACGGTTACCCCACAAACACCCAGATTGGACCCAGCAGAAATGTACCGGTGAAACCTTGCTCGGCGTATTTAAGGCCAAACTTATGGTTGGACTGTGCATCATTTCGACGGCTTGGTGTGTCTTCGTTCCTGTCCCGCACAAAAATGATTGCAATTAAGGCTTCAAGGATCTGAACAATTTGTCACCAACTACCATGAAGACTATGCTGGGGATCCGGTCAGCTTGGTATCAGCGTTACCCTGACACCAAGGCAGGTCCATCCGGATGGTCGATCGGGCTGTGTCGTTCTTGGTGCCTTTTCTGGAATGGCGAAGGAATTTCCAAAGCATTCTCGAAGCCTTGGCTGGGTCACCTGCATCCAATTTTGAACCCTTGTTGTTGCTCACGGCGTCCGCAACGACCCTGTGGAGTTCTTTGTTTTTTGGACGTTCATCCCTGCGTTCCTGCATCATGGTTCGGGGGGGGATGGGTGGGCGGGGGGGGAGGGGGGGTGGGTGGGGGGGTATGATAAGCACACCCGCTCAACTGCTGCAGACCAGCCTGCTCTTTTACCGGATTACAAAATAACATGGTTTTGGGGGGGGGGGTTGGGGGGGGCATGATAAGCACACCCGCTCAACTGCTGCAGATGCGTCTTTTACCTCTGAGGCATTCACTGGCCCAACCTTTGGCTCCAGGACCATGGGTCATCATTTTGTTCTCGCTCTTTGTGTTGCGTACGTTCTGCTGCTGCGTGTCGCGTGCGCACCCTGCCCCATTGTTGACTTGTGGTTCCAGGCATTTTGGACGTGTGATCTGTTCTTGTTGGACGCTCACTTTGAAGTTTTCGCTGGTAGTTCGTCTGATCCTTTCGCGCATTTTGCGGCATCTGTTGGTGCGATATCTGCTCGAAGCCCTTTGTCCTGGTGTCGGTTACCTGCTGCACTGCCGCGTCTTCGCGCTGCCTGGCTGACGCTCTCGCGCGCCCGCTCCCCGCTTACCCCGTCTTTGCGTGCTGCCTGTTTTGTTTTATCCCGACGTTTGTTGGTCATCAACTTCACTTCTGCACCATGTACGCATGAGCTGAGCTGGGCCGTGTTGAAAAAGCACGTGCCCAAAACAGTGGCCACTCGTGGTGCGTCTGACAGACGCGCAAACCCACGCCTGGACCAGCACATGTACTCATTTCAGTTTCGCAAAAACTGTATTCTGGGAGACCTGTGCAAGAACTTGCCTTGAAACAAAAAGAGGCCGGCTGCCTCAAGAAACGCACGTGTGTTGGCCAGCGGCACGAAGTGCTGCTATTTTTGAGCGAGGCCACAATGTCCGGCCATGTATGACTTGGAAGCAGATGAAGGCGGCTCGCTCGCGAGCTTTGAGAAGTTGCCTTGAAAAAAAAGAGGCCGGCAGCCTCAAGAAACGCGCGTGTGTTGGCCAGCAGCGCGAAGTGCTGCTATTCTCAGGCGATTTGGCCCTTTCTTGTCAAAGCCATGGTAAAAATGGAACAAAATAAACATGGTGCGTGTCAACGATGCAACGAAATATTCCTAAAACGCAGGAATTTTGGTAATCGTGCTTGGTCGCCCTGGTCAAAAGCAGCGTGGTCATTAGCAACGCCGTGACCTTGTTGTTTCTTGTTCAAAGGGAAGGCTGCCAATCCCCGCCGTTCCCTCATTCGGCAAAACGAGCCACAAAGCCATGGTACTCGTAAGGGCAAGGGACGGTACCATTTGCAACATCAGTAAGCCATGAGTAAGAGGATGGCTAGATGGCGCATCAGAAAATTTGAAGGGAATCCAACAGATAGTTCCAAAGGGTAATTCTAGTTCCAGGTGATACCAATAGAAACTTCTGAAGAATCCATCAACCATCTGATAGTTCCAAACGGAAGCCATAACTTGGTGGCCCCCAGCCGTCCCCTTAGATGTTTAGGCTTTTAGGGTTTAGTGGTAGTTTCCATTTAACCCACTAAAAGTTAGTCACTTTTAGCAAGGGATCAGAAAACGGACAGCCCAGATCAGAGAATTCGATGAGTTGTCGCCTCAATTTCCCAGACGCAGCCCACGTGAGCCATCGAATCGAGGCGCTGGACAGTCTGGAGGACCAGATCATGGAGCTGAAGATGCAGATGCAGAGCAGGCATACCCGTCGAAACCTGGAATACTCCCAGGAGAAGCACAAAAAAACTGAGGGTCAACTGGGGGTAAATCAGCTGAAAAGTATGGTACGCCATGTTTGATTAAAGTAATTTCAGGAGAAGCCAAGTGGTTTTTTGGGTCCATTAGTAAACAAAAGCTCTAAGGTATGGCTTAGCTGACATAGTTCTTTGGGCTTTGGTTTGGGGGTCAGTAAGTCGAATTTGGGGCCCGAAGAGAACCCATGTCCCGTATGGCTTGTCAGGACTTGGGCCCTGAAAGTGGGCGCTCATTCGCGTGCCTTCCATGTGTCCATCAAGCCTGAACACCTCGCAAATCCCAACAATCCAGTCCATTCCATGTCCATTCCCAAACCAAACCTGAAGACCTCGAAGATCCCATGTCCATTCCAACAATCCGCTCCGTTGGGAATCCCGAAATGGACATTGGCTAAGCATCGAAAACAGCATGTCCGGAAGGTCCAACCGGAAATCCGGTCACACCGGCCTCTTGCAAGCCATAGCATGGACTGGAGGGCAGCCATTCAAAAGGCCATCCGGTTCCTGAAGGTTTTTCGTTTCGTGGAAGTCCGGGACCACACCAACGGTGAAACTTTCAGGGAGCTGGGAACAGCCATTGAGATGAGAAAAATCGAGGCCAAGACTGAAGGTCCGTTCGTTTCTGGCTGCCGGTTGGATGTTGCGCATCTCCCAAGTATACTTTGTTGTTTCTGGGTTGACCCTAACCATAGACTTGTTGTAACTTCAAAGACGAAGCCGGGTAGTTCTTTGGGGCAGACAACTTAGACAAAAATGCCCCCTTCCCCTGTTTTAAGGACCCAACAAGTACTCCCTTGGAGATGGAGCCACAGAGATTCAAGATTTTCAGAAAATAGGAATTGGTCCCAAAAAATGGCAACGGTTCTGTTGGTTTCCCTTTTGAACACTAAGCACAAGGGGTTCCGAATCGCATTTTGAGAGATTCCCATGGCTGCACAGCGTGGAAACCATGGCGGAGGGACCACAGAGGGTCATCTGGATTTGGGGCTTCAAAACGAGATCTCAAAGGCTATGGGGGTGGGAGAACGACACCTTCTGCCAAAGATTGCAACGGACTGTGATCTTTCAGGGTTTCGGGATGATTGTAAGTACTTGCCTGCGATATTTAGCTTCCTTGCCAGCGGTCGTCACGTCGTCTTAACCTTTTGATGTGCCTGGTTTCCATATTTAAGTTTAAGTTCCAAAAGTTTTAGGTTCCATATTTAGGTTCCATGTCTAGTTTCCATGTTTGGCCTTGTTCCAGATCCTATGGGCAAGTCCCTCCGAGCCACGGCTGAACTTTTGCAGCCGCGAGGCGCAGTGATGCTGTGAAGGCGAATCGGGAAGGGCGATATGGGCGGGTAGGGTTCGAGCCAATAGACCAGTGCGTCCCCTTGGTTTGTAATTATCACCTTTTGGTTTGTGTGTAGCCAATGAAGTTTCTAAATCCTACCCAGTGGATTATTTGCCTCTCCTTAAAACTAAAAGGAGATTGGACAGTCACCTACCATAAGGGTATCCGGGATCCACTGGGTTCCATTCTCAGCTGGTCGTTTCCTTCCGCGCCAATCCAAAGGCATCGATTTTTGGAGCCGACGGATATGCCCGTGGTACTCATGCGTCACTCGGAACGACTTGGCTCCAAAGGGGAGCCCCACTAAGCAACTTTGAGGCCCTCTCATAAGGCAGGCAGAATGGCTAGGCATCAGTTAAGTTGCCACAAGAAGCTGATGTCAATCCTTTTACCCGCACATGCGTCAAAACCTATCGCTGCTGCATGTGGTTCAGAAGTTGCTAGGCTGCTTGCTATGCCTCGCCTGTTCAGTTGGCAAGCTTCAAGCTGTGGGACGCCGTCTTCATTTGTGCAAAGGCCCAGAAAATCCCATCCGTTTCTGGCCAGTCGGTTGAGATCAGTACGAGGAATTTAAGGAAAGGACGTGACCAAGGACGAGTGGCATGGCAAAGGTGTCAGTTGCTTCGGCGATAAGGTGTAGTCTGTGTTGCATGACCACTCGTTGATTGTGTGTGTGCTGTTGTATTTGGTGTTTTTTTTCTTTTTCCTGGGTGCCTTTTGTGTTGTAGTCATCTTGAGGTCTTGTCATGAAAGAGTGGTCTTGAGTGCGGCTCCGGCCCCTGGTTTTGTAGATGGATTTTAACGGGAAACCAAAAGGGAAACTATCATTTGGTGTGTCCGGCCTTTTACAAGCGACACACCCATGTCTTAGAACAATTCGGATGTTTTTGTTGTTTGGTTCCCTTGTGGGAACTGCGACCCGGAAACATGCTATGTGTCGACATGAATGTCGATTGACTTGTGTTATGTTTCCGGAAGACCAGCGACGAACTGCAACGAGCTCACCTGGGGGTGATGGTGCTCATGATAAAAGTCCAACTCTTGGGCACCTCTGATGTCCAGTTGGTGAATCATAGTAGTTTGCCAGAACAAGGCAAAGGTTCTATATACCAGCGCATGTACATGTGTAGCACATATGATGTTTGTATGTATCAACCGGATCTTGCAGTGAGACATTTTGAAGATGGTTCGAGCCTTTCAGCTGCGGCAGAGGCCAGGACGAGCATCCACCACTCCGACGCAGAGGCCGGAGCAAGCTGCCGCCTGCCGTGGCGGTGGGGGAGGAAAGGAGCAAAACCTGCGATGAAGGTCCAATTCCTGGGGAATGTCCTTGTTTTTTTGCTGGGGCGACAAGAGCAATTTACTCAGCGCCACCCCCCACCTCATGTTTCACTAAGGTTCTAAGCCTACGTTTATTTGGGGAAAGGGGGGGGGGTGCGGATCCTCATTTCTGGGGATGTTCAAAGATCAGCGGTGGGGTTTTCCACGGTTTTTTCAATCGGTGGTTGTCCCCATTGGTTGTCCCGGTTGTCCCGTTCGTTCCCTGGAAGAGCCGAGAAAAGTGCCAGCGAGCCTTAAAAAAACGCAGGCCTGCAAGGGGCTTTCGGGGTTCAACTCACTTCCTGAGTTCCTGGACTTTCGTCATTTTCGGGGTTTGACCAGTTTAGTGTTAAATAACCAGTTTGACTTCTTGCGGCCAATCCACTCGGGGAGTGAGGTTCAGGAAACCTCCCCAAGCGCGTGACCGCTCCAAACCCGCCCGTGGCCGGGCCGCGAGTCAGGTGATGGGCCTCAAAAGCCTCCAGGAGCTGATCGACTCGCAGGAGGCAAGCGATGGTTGCCATGTTTGCTTTGTAGTTGTTGTTGTTGTTGTTTTTGGTTGTTTTCTTGTGTTTTTTTTCTTTTTTCCGGGCCAGGCTGGACTGGTGTGTCTGTGTGTGTGTGTGGGTTCTGTGGTGTGAGGAGTCTTGGGTGTTTGTTTGCGTATGTTTTCTTGGGTGGGTGGGGGGGGGGGGGTGAAACTTGTTTTTTTCGTTGTTCGGAGTTGCGAAGCGGCATGTCGCGAACGAGAAAAAGGGCTTCTCCAGGCGCGCGATAAAGAAATGGGGGGGTGTGTGTTCTTGTGGCTTCAACCAACCCAACCCAACGGCCAAACCTGCTTCGATGCCCCCTCTTGGGCAAAGGGCTTCTGGCCTCGCATCCGCGACAAAGATCCTGAAGTTGCGGCCAGCTACATAAATATGTTGCTATTTTCCGACCCCGGCGGGTTTTAAGGGAAATCTCTATCACTACTGGAAAATATGTTCTCATGTTGTCCAGGCGAATTCAGCAAATGGAAGGTTACATCTGTGGTTTGGGTGTTTTACCGCCGCGCGAGCACGAGGCACAAAATTTGGACCCCAAAGCCCTTGATCAAGGAGGGGTGCTGGAGACGTGCGGTCTACGGCTTTGTTCAGTTGGTTTTGGAGGAAAAGGCACCATGACTCCCAAACCATCACTCTTGCAAGATCCCAACCATGACTGGTGGAAGATCCCAACCACTCGTGTTTCCCCCAAAGGCCCGCCATGGACGTCTGCATTGAGCTTGGCGAGCAAATGGCGCTCTCAGCTTGGTCCATGTCTCATGTCCATCGATTCGATGCCTGGGCCTTCGGGTCGCAAGAACGCCTTAAACTCCGTTTGGCCGTTGGCGGGCTGTATTTTTTCAGGGGACCCCCCCAACCGTGGTGTTTTCTCTGTTGTTTTCCCGGTGAATCCATTTAGCTGTATAGTAGGTAGAGGGCTTGGCCAACCTTTCAAAAAGCCGAAAGGCACATAGCGAAGGGTTGCCTACTACATGGGCAACTGAGATCCACGAGGTTCCCTTCAAACACCAAGAAACAGATTTCCCCCGGATCCTTTTTTTTGGGGGGGAGGCTTTCCCCCGCTTTTCTGGGGGCACCCCCCAAAAAATGGGCGACCTTTCCCTGTTTTTGTGTCCCCTAAGAAGCCAAAACCGCGGCGGCCTCGCGGCTCGCAGCTCGCAGGCCTTGGCCTGGCGAAACCGCCGGGCCGAGCTGGGCGCCGCCTTCGCGGAGTTGCCCGGGAGGCGGAAGCCGTCGAAGCGACGCGCCCGCGTGCGCGGAGGTCGAAGCGGTCGAAGCGGAAGTCGTTGTGGTTTTCGTGTTTCCCCTTGTTTTCCCTGTTTCCTCTTGTTTTGTCCTTTTTTGTTCCCCTTTTTTCTCTTTTTTCCCTTGGTTGTTCAGTGGCACCGATTCTTTTTCCAACTTGTTTTTTCTGGTGGCTGCCCTAAACATGGCCTACGCCCCAAAAAGGGGTTCTTTTTTCCAGGTTCACTGAACAACTGAGGGGTTCCTTGAACCCCACCCGAGGATTGGGGTAAAAAACCTCCGAACAATGAGGATTGCTACCCTCGGACAAAGGAAAAGAATTGGAGTCACGGGGAACCACGCGCCTCGGTTGGAGCGGCCGAAGAAATGGCCGCGGGTTGGAGCAGCCGGGTTTGTCCAGGTTTGGGCGTGAAAGAAAAAGGGAAGGGAAAAAGGGCCATGTGAAGGCTGGTACTTGGCAGGGGGCCGGACTCGGCGGAGATCCCCAGGTTTGCTTGGAAAGAGGCGATCTTTTAGAGCTACCTGGTTTTCAGTGAGGACATGGTGGTTCAGCCCATGTTCTGTCCAGGTGTGGAAAAAATGCGAAAAGCTCAGCACATGACTGTGTGAGCACCCGATCGATTTCGCCAGCGGTTCTTCCGTTTCGCCGTTTTTGGAACCTTGGAATGTTTGCAAAGCTCACTGGAACCCAGCAAGGTGCCTTCTTTTTCGTGGAAATCCAGGGACTCCTCAGGCATGTGGTTTAACTGAAGGTTTGTAGGGCCTGCTGTTGGTGGGCAACTAAGGATCGCGTGAATTCTACTTGGATCATCGCAATAGAGTTTGGTTCGGCTTCGGAAGCAAACACGAACCATAGGCTCGAGATCTCAGCAGACACCTAGGTGCCCTGACGTGTGCTCACACCTGACTGGCCATTCGCATGTTCGGGGCCAAGTCTTGCGGTCCCAAACCTCCCAAGAGGTCCCAGAACCCCCCTTAGGCGTTCCATGGGGCTGAGCTTTTTTTCCGACCATTTCCCCTCACTCCCTGAGTTCATGGACTTTATACTTTTTGGGAAGACCATTTTGGTGGTAAACAAAGAGTTTGGACTTTTTTTGGCCAATCAACTCAGGAAGCGAGTCCCTGGTTCCAAAGACTCAAAAGCGGACTCTGAGTTTCCACGCGAACGCGAGGCTTCTGTTGGGCTCCTTCCTGGCTCACTACGGCACCGTAGACCAGGCGCGCGCGAGATCGGAGTCGAGTCTTCGTTTTTGGAGTTGACCTCAACGTACAATTACCATATGGTATTTGTACCATGTTTGTTTAAGGGTATAAGATCCATTCCTCACTAAAAAGGCAGTGGTCATGGGAAAGCAAATTTTGTGTTCCTACCAAAAAGGCGTGGGTTGGGGAGATGGATTGTGGCAGGGCAACTAACCGTCACTGAATGTGGTCGCAACTAGCTGTCCCCCGCATGAAGGCAATCTGAAGCGGATCTTGATGATGCAGTTGATGTAGTTGATGCAGGTCGAAGTGTGGCAATTGCAGTGTTTCGGGGGGGTGGCTTGGAAGAGCCCTGGATTTATCAATGCGAGGTCGTGGGTTTCCCCAAACGTTGAGCCCGCAACCCGAAAAACGATGGGTTTCCGAAGCGAGGAGGCGCTACTGGGCTCCTGGCGCACGGTCTGCCAGCAGTACGAGCTGCTGCCGCTCGGTTTGGAATTTCCAGGGTTGGCCGTCTCTCACGTGGGTGAAACTGTCGACCTGAGGGATACTAGGTCCCCCAGTAGTGTTTTCGGGGGAGGGAAAAAACGGGTACCCTTCTTCGAACCTCTCTACTGGAGGACCTAGGTGGCTTGCAGCTTGGCAGCTCCGTCTTTTTTCCCTGAATGCGTAGCAGCAGGGTTCACGTTTAGAGGTCGGGGGTCTGGGGGTTAGGACGTGACCAGACGTCGTTGATTTTACGTCCCCCCGCTAGGTCCCCCAGCGATTGGTGCCCTTTTACTGTTTCTTTTTCGGGGGAGGGTTCCCCCAGACGTGGACAGAGAAAAGTTGGTACCAACTTCTAACCACTGGGGGACCTGAGGGATACACTCCAAAGGGGCCCTTTCTCCTTCAAGGCACACTCCGGGTCCAGATCTAGTTCCAGATTGGATTTAAGCATGGGCCCTTGGATTTGTGAGTTTCCCCTTGGGCGATAGTAAGTTGGCATATTTAGGGGTTCCCTGTTCAAAGCATGGCCGGTTTGTGCCGAATTGCCCAGAAGGAGAGAGACCTCCTCCATACTGGTACAGAAGGTGATCGACCTTTTGCTCAAGGAAGAGCAACCAAAGGGAAATCAATAGTAGAATGAGATTTGAAGCCCCGTCTAGTTGGAATTGAACATGTGCCAAAAAGAAGCCGTTACCATTCCAGGGGGCTTGTTCCGATTTGGAAAAAAACAGTGAAGAGGGAACCATTCTGGGGGCTCCTCCATTTAAGACAAAGCACATCTTGATCGCAGACGTCCAAAACTGACCAAGAAGGATTGAAACGGAGCCTGATGGAGAACATGAAAATAGAACCCTCAGCAACCTCCCATGACAATCACAGATTTAGGCTACTCAATGGCGACCAAAGAAGGGCACGATGCCAGCCATGTGGCCATTCCCTTTGCGTTATGCATTGATAAGACTGGATACACCAACCCTCAGGGTGAACATGGCTGCTATAGACCATCCGAGAAGGGATCCCATTAAGGGATCACGTTGAGGCGACCCCAGGTGTGGTGTTGATCAAAGCCAAGCTTGATTGAAACCTCCAATTTTGTTCCGTTGCACTTTGTTCAATGGGCGCAGCCAGAATGCGAGGTAGAAAAAGCAAGTACAAGCCCCGGTGTTTGAAGCACCCGGTATATCTGGGAATCCCAAGATTCCCAGAGGCCCAGGCCCGAACCGCCGATCAAAATCCCAAGGCCGGGGATTCGCGAGTGGAAGCGTCTCTAGAGCCAATACCTTGCTGCCCCTATGTGAAGATTTTTTGACCGAGCATACGAACCCCTTGGACCCCTAGTTGAAGGCTAATTCGGGGTCCCAAACCAACACTCTTTCATATAGAAACACAATTTTGTATACGGAATCCGCAACGTGTGCTTTCCGAAACAGAATCTGAGACTAGTTTTGATAGGTCCTGGGGTGAACATCAATGAAGTCATGGTGTGCCAGCAATTCTGATCCGTGAATAGAGAAAATTACGTAGCTGACCAAAACAAAGTCGATGCCTGAATTTTGGGGGCAAACGCCCCCCTTTTTTTTCGGTCAGGTACCGCTCTTTTTCGGTGCTGCTGGGCCACGGTCGTCCACTCTCGAGGTCCGAGTCCTCCGAGACGGCGGAGCAGCTGCTGCGCATGATGGCGGACGCCTGCGGGGTGAAGGACCTGCCGGCTTTAGAGGCGCCAAGAGGTGCCAAGATGTGGAGGTTGGCCAGGTCCGGTACACTATAAACCATCCAACTGGTGGTTTCCATTTTTCGGGTTGAGTTTGTCTTTATTCCGGTTCCTTCCATTTCTCCTTCCCTGCCAATCTCTTGCACCGGCAAGTGACCTAGGTCCCCCAGCGATTGGTGCCCTTTCTCACCGTTTCTGTTGAGAGGGTTCCCCTAAAATAGACTACAGAAAAAAGGTACCCTTATTCTAACCTCTCTACTGGAGGACCTAGCCAATCCAAACCACCAAGTTTGTGACCTGAAATATGCGAGTGTTCTCTGTGGAGTTGCTACCGTGTTTTAGGTTGGTTTGAAGGGAAACCCCCACGGAAAACCGACAACGGTGAGCCGCTTGTTTCAATATGTGTGTTCCCTTCTCAGACTTGCAGTGCTTCATCTCACAGAAGGAAACCCCGAAAAAGGTATCTCAAGAGCTGTGGAACCGCTCAGCTTCTTGGGCTCTTTGGGGAGTCCCTTGGACATGGAACCTCAAAAGCCCATCCAAGAACCCTTGGTCTAAGAACGGAACCCCTCCAAGGGTCTCCAAAGATCCCATCCAAAAGCTGTGGAACCTCAAAAATCCCTTGGTCCAAGAACGGAATCTCTTCTCTCTCTTTTTTTTTGGGGGGGGGGGGCTCGCTCAGAGACGTGTTCAATTTGTCGGCGGATGTCAGTTCCCTTGGGCCGCTTATTCACCGAAGTTCCTTCTGTAAATTTGCTAATCCTTTGGATCTTACCCCTTTTGACCTTTGGTTTTTGGGTGTTGGTGTTCTTTCCCGTCAGCTCGCCCTAAGTGTTTGATGTTTCAAGGGCAAGTCTTGCGACATGAGTAGGAGGACATTTGCGGGTTGCCCTCCGTTTCCCCCAAGCGAACTCCCTTTTTCCCCTTTTCGAGGCTCGGAGTTCGAGGCTCGGAAGTCTCTTTGGGGCGGCGCGAAGCTCCCGAAAGAGACCCATAGGACCTGGATGCACCCAGCTTCCTGGGCGCCGCGCCCAGCATTCGAGCATGGATGGGGGGGCCACTCCAGGGGTGCATTTTTCCAGGAAGCGCCCCCCAAAAATTGAGGCTTGTTGGTTGGCATTTTTTGGGCCGGTTGACAACCCTTGGAGGGGTCTTCTTGCTTCGAGGCTGCCCGCTTTTTTGGGTAGCTTAGGAAGAAACGCCAAGCCGATTCCGATTTTAAGACACCCAACTGGGTTAGGAACAGGAACTTTCACAGTTGCGCGGGTTTTGTCCAACTCTTTGGGCCACAAGGCTTGATCCAACTCTGAAATGCGCCGGGTTTTTTGCAATTGAGTGAAGTTCAGGGGGCAGTTGGGATAGACCCGTTCACCGAGGGTTGGGGCCACAAACCTTGACAAACCCCAACAAAAATCCCATTGCGGGGGACAGCAGACTTGGATACGGGTTTGAGGCTAGGTTCTAAAAGGAAACTAGGGGACACCAGTTTGGGCTGGTACAGTGGTACGAATCCTATTCTCAGACACACCCATTCTCACATGCGTGCATTCGCGAGCGCACAACCGAAGCATTCCATGACGAAGGTTCCTTGGAGAGTTGGGGGCCCCGGCGTACAATTCCATCAATTGGTCCCCCAGCAATTGGTGCCCGACCTCTCCCCCCTTTTTTGGTTGGGAGATTCGGTTCCCCTATTAGACTAGAAAAAAAAGTTGGTACCAACTGATTCTAACCTCTACTGGAGGACCTAGCCATTAAAGCCCGAAGGAAAATGAATGGACTTCCCGGAATCCTCAGAACCTGGGGGTTGCCAAAATGTGCGGGTCCTAAGCGGAATTGGGCATTCTAAGACCCATGGTAAATCAACCCACGGGAGTGTCTGTTTGTAGGTTGGAGCCCCAAATTTGTATTTCCTTTTGGTCCTTTGATTTAAAGCCCTCCCAAAACCAGGGCACCCTTCACCAAAAAAAGGGCACCACCTAGATGGCCAAGTTGCGATCGCTTTTTTCAGTCACCGTTGCTGGTCTTCGGGGCAAAGTGGCTGGAAAACAGCGATCGCACCTGGCGATCCAGGCCAAAAAAGGACAAAAACATAAAGAAACCAGAGAGGACCAAAAAAAGGGCCCACCCCTTCGCCTCGAAAAAAGGCACCCACCCCCTCTCACCCACCTTCCGACCGCCGCGAGCCGCCGGGAGCGGGCGGCTCTCGAGGTCAGCTGCCGCCGCAGCTGGCCGCGGCCGCCTTCTGCGGCCAAACGGCGCCGCGGATCTGCGACCCGTTCGGCGTGGCCAGGCGCGGAGTCGTTCGGCCCGCGGCGCAGTCCCCCGAAGACTCGCGAATAGAGCTGGGCGAAATTTCTGGGCCGAGGTAGCGGCACCCCAAAGAACTGGACATGAGAAAATAGGAAGGAGTTGGCAAGACCATCAGTTTGGGCGGCCATAGCCTATTTTCAAGGGTAGCTTGAAAGTCCAGGTACACTTTTCAGGGAAAGGAGACTGAGACAAGCGGACTGTCAAGATCCGAGCAATGGCTACGCGAGAAGGGGGGCGTAGGTTGTTGCTTTCAGTTGTTTTCTTTGTTCCTTCGCTGCGTTTTCCTTGTGCTTCCGATCAAATAGCTGAGTTGCTTTCTGTTCTCTTGCGGCTGCGGTTGACCCTTCAAAATCTCGCTCCGGATGGAAATCCCATCGCGTGAGCTGAAACCTCTCATTGGGACAGGCTCTGGTCTCCTTCCCTTCCCGTCTCACGCCTTGCGAAGAGGCGGCACGGAACGGAGTCTCGAATGAAAGCGCTCAATCTCAACCTGAAAAGGGCATTGGGTTTGCGACCGGACTGTCCTTTTGCCGGAGGTTCGCTTGTGGGGAATACGCCAAGATGGAAGCAACGCCTTCAACGAGCCACGTGGAACTTTCCCAGAGGCTTGTTGGCAGGGAGAAACCAAAAAAGGCGCACAAAGCCATGTGAGGCATGGAACGCCCTTGGGCCTTCGGATCGCGCAGGCATTGGCTGGAGAAGCGCCTGGCGGCCATGACGGGGTCCCTCTGCTCCGAGATCACCCTGACGCACCTCGATGTGGGAAGCCGGTTCCGGTTCTGGGAGAACCGGGATGATCGAGTCGGATGGGATCACGCGATTCTTTTTGTGCAAGTGATACGAGTTGGAATATCCACCCCTTATGCATGGTTGTGGGATTTGGGTTATCCAACCACTGTGATACAAGTTGGAATATCCGAATGTCCAAGCCTAGGGTGGTTCGCCTTAAGCCCTTTCTGTATCACAGTATATCCCATTGCAACCACAGGCCTTCGGGTTCCATCAGCAGCAGCATCCCTGAGACGAGCTATGGTAAGGCGAACCACCAGGATGCCATTGCCGTACGTTTTCGGGCACGTCCTTTGAGAAACCCCCCGATTCCCATGCGCGAAAGCCGGCGGATCCCGTCTGAAAAAGGGGGAAAAACGCCTAGGCCATTTGAAGCGAATTGTTTCGCCGCGGGGAAAGGGAACTTCTCTCTCGCCAAGGAGCACGTTGGGCTGTAGTCCCTTGGACGAGTTGAAGGCGGGTCGGTTCACGCCTAAGGGTGTGTCCTCTAAAAAACCCGGAAAATATGGTTTTCCTTTTGGCTTGCCTTGTAAAACCACCGAAAACAAGGGGGACCCTCAAAAAAGGCACCCCCATGTGACGTGATTCTCGTGTAACGTGTAAACGGGTTTCAGAGCGAACTCGTCACAGGTCAGTATTGATTTTGAGATGGACTTTCGCAGGTGTTCAGTTGGTCTTAGAGGGAACTGGTTGCAGGTAAGCATTTCACCTCCTAAGTGCTAGGATGAATGGAAACAGCCCCAGTTTCTGACTCTGATATCCCCTAAGGCCCTAGAAGCCGGCAAACTCGTGACCCCAGTTATTTCATCTTAGCTTGGACTTTGATCTTTGCGTCGTTGCGCCCGGGAAATTCATGGCTTTGAGCTTGATCCATGTCCCCGATAGGTCCGTCCATATTTGCAGAGTTGGGGGTTTGTGAAATGGGATTTCTGTTTGATTTCCCCTTGAAACAACCTCAAGAAGGGTACCCTCACAAAAGCACACCCATTTGTCATTCGCAAGTTCCGAGTGTATTAAGCCGTAAACTGACGGTGAATGGTCAGCGTCAGCTGGTCGCCCTTTCCTCCCAGAAGCTAGTTTTTTCGAGTTCCCAGGGTCCCACATGTCCCTGAAACCAAATTGCGCCAATTGAAGTCTGTGAAACACAGGGACACTACTTCTTGCTTCACTGTTGTTGTCAAGTATTTAGATGTTGGGTTCTTTGGTTCTGTTCCTTTTTAGGGAGCTGCGGAAAAAAAAAGAAACAAAAAGGGGCAGTCAGTTCGTTGCTACCAAGGCTTCTAAAGAGAGAGAGACTACCACCCAGCCACCTCTTCTCGGTTCTTTCGGGGGTCCAACCCACCGCTCGCCAGGCATCCATGAAGCCACGCGGCGGCGCTTTTTTTTTTGGATTCCTCGGCGGGTTGCCTGTCTAGGTCCCCCAGCGATTGGTGTCCTTTCTCGCCGTAACTTTTTTGGACAACTTGGGGGCATGAACTAACTCAAAGACACTGAGTGAGGCTAGTTTCCCCAGTAGTGCCCTTTTGACCAGCTTTTTTGGGGGAGGGTTCCCCTACTAACAAAGCCAGACAAAAGTTGGTACCAACCTATTCTAACCGCTCTACTGGAGGACCTAGCTGCATTCTTGTGCTTAAATGCCCAAGCACTGTCCGCAAGAGCAGGGGGTTGCAAGCATCGCTTGGGTTTTCTTCTCGAGCAAAATGCCAACCAGGGCCAAAGGTCTGCTCGGATCTCCACCTCGTTTCGGCCTGTGTTAGCCCGCCCTTTGAACACCCCGTTCCGCAGGGACTCCCTCCATTGGCCGAACGACCCTTCAAAAGTCTCAGGAAAACCCCGGCTTTCGTGTGGCATGTTGCGCGGATGCGTGGCAATGTGGTTTTCAGGCTCGGTACCTTGTTCGGGCTTGGGGAGGAAACCAACTTGACCAACTTAGACTTGGCGACGAAGCCGTTTTGGCTGAATTCCCCTTCAAACTGCGCATGGGAAATCCAACCAAAAGCGGATCGCCCCATTGGGGGAGGTCTTTCGGCCTGCCCATGCCTGGGACTCTCCATGTGGTCGTTTCCAGCGGAAACCAAGCAAAAGTTGAAGTTGAATACACGAATGCCACCTGTTTGAGAAAGATTGTTCCTTGAACTTTCGGATAGAATGTGTGCATTACATTCGCGCTGGCAAGCAACTGCCCAGGAGTCGAATCCAGTGTGGGCCTTCGTGGCAAAGGGTTTCCATTTTGTAGGTCCTTCATTTTTCCGGTACCATTTGACTAGGGGCTCAACTCGGGGCTCATCTCATTTCCCCAGTATTTTCCGACCAATCCACTCGAACAGAAGTGAGTTCTGGGTGTGCCTCTGTTGGCTTCCCAAAGCCATTGGGGAATCCTTTATGGGAGTCCAAGCTTAATTCCAAGACAAACGATCCAAGATTCACTTTGTTCAATGTGACTCAACCCTAAAGCGGGAACTCCTTGTCTCCCTTCGGAGGAAATCCGATTTGTTTGCAATCACTATGCGACCCATGAACTTCCCTGAAGTGGTTCACCTTTGTGCAAATCTAGCCCTTACAGCCAAATTTGTGATACGGAAGAAACCCTCTTTAAAGTGATGCAAGGATATCCCACTTTGGTAACACGGAAAGGGGTATGTCCCACGACAAATAGGGTTAAGACTAATTGCCTTTGGGTAAAGCTCCGGATCGTCCACTTCCGTTGAACAGAGGGTACATACTGTGGACGAAATCCATTTCGCACCACTTCGATTCCGTGGGAAGCCCATTGTTTGTTGGTATTTGCAGGGGAATCGAATCATTCCACATTTTCCTGGGCGGTGCAGGGTTTCGTCCATCCACAGTATGAGCAGGTGGCTTTTTGGAGGCTGCTCTTTTTGGGGGTCGGAGAGCTCACGTTGCCCTTGCTACCCCTGCCCGAGCCAACCAAAACCTCCGCCGAGGAACAAGCGCACCTCGCTGCTCATCGCCTTGGGCGAGGAGTTCGGCCACTGGGCGCGCTGTTGCTATGTGGGGCAATCGAATCAGAGAGGGCCATACAGTAAGGCCGAGATGGGTGTTCGCCAAACAAAAAGCCTCAAAACACAGGCCCTTAGAAGTGCTTCATCACCATCTAGAGCCAAATGTCATCATGTTTTTGGGTTGTTTTTTGCGCGACGTGTTTGTCTAGGATATGGAACCGCCAAAGGGGATGGGTTCTTTTGGTCTCGCTAAACCCATCGAAAAGGGGTACCGATCCTAAGACTCGCGTTGCATATCCTGGGTCACCGGCTTCCATCGCTGTGATCCGATGAAATTGAAACGATACAGAGGTTAGCATGGTCCCTGCGCAAGGACAGGAAAACCAACCGCGAAGTTTGTTTCAAGTGGCTCTCTCGACAGAATCGTTTCAGACGGGAGAGTGATCTTGAAGACTCGAGGGCCTTGGAAGTTGTTTGACGTGGTTTTGTCCTTTGGTCGTAGTCGTGTTTGTTTGTGAATTGTTTGGCCGACCCACTAGTTAAATGAGATGACAGCTGAGATGACCAGATGTCCACTGTTGGCAACTTTGTATTCTCCGATGTGCACCGACTCGCAATTGCAAGATCAGTTTGCATTCGCCGGATCGTGACGTCACGCCAACTTTTTCGAGCGCCTCTGAGTTCACAGGGCGGTGGATGTCCAGATGTGCTGGGCAGTGAAAGATATGGAGGATGGGACGGGTTCTTTGCTGCTGTCGAATGACTCCATGCATGGCTCTTGCTGGCATGGTTGAGGGGTCCCAGTTGCGTACGAGCTCAGCCTTAATGTGCACTCGGAGCCGCATAGGATGCTGCAGATTCCCAACTGAGACTTGCTCATCTGCAACCTTGAGACCTGGGGATTTCTCCTCTGATTTGGTCGGCACAGCTCCATCTGGCGGGACACCTGGGCCATCCTTGAGCCCAAAGGCTTTGACGTCGTCTTGCACCACCTGATGCAACGGCCTTCTCTTTGGCACTCGCCACGACTTCGAGACTTCGAGGCGAGCTTTCGTGCCCTGGAGCGTTGGGCCAAGCGACAATCCATCTCAACCACTCGTGAACACAGGCGAGACTTTCAGAGCATCAAGCCTGGTGCTCCCTGAGGGATGACTGCTCTCACTAAGACCACCGCTACTATCCTTGCCGTCAGCGATGATGGTGCTGAAGTTCAATTTGAGCATGGTCCCTTGTGACCCATACTCTTACCTCCGACGACTTTGTGAGGGAGCTTAACGACTTTTGGTCATTGCGGTGGCGGAAACACTCCAACCTGTCTCCGGATGCTTGGCATCGCATCACCTCGTTCATTCGGGCCTTTGTTCCTACTGGTCGCTTCACTTGCCATCACTGCTTGGCAAGTACACTGATCGCTCTGCCCGAGGGCCTGATGGCTTCGACAACCGGGATCTTCAGCAGATGCCAAGTCCACTTGTGGATCAACGACTCAGCATCTTGCATGAGGTCGAGCGGGGGCCATGCCTGGCTGCAACTTCTCCAAGTTCATCTCTTCAACATTCTCAGGTCCACTGCTTCTCAGTCAATTGACGTTATTCTGGTCTCGATGATCTACAGGGCCTGGAGCACCTTGCGGGCTAGGCAGGTTATGAAGGTTCTTGCGGCCATGCCAAAGACCTTGGAGGTCGACACACCGGAGGCGATCCGCCCACTATGACGACGCTCTTCGCTCCTTAGTAGCCTCAGTGGAAACAAATCCGCCGTCTTTCAGCGCCGCTTCACTTGAAGATCTGCCTCATTGTCCAAGCACTTTGGCCGGCGGTCGTTCATGCAGCGGCCATCGACTACTGCCCGCCGCACATCATCAGCAGGCTTCGCACATCCACGGCGAAAGCCTTAGGCTTTGGCAAAGCTGGAGCTCAACCGTTGGTCAGGCTGCGTCTCCTTTGTGGCCAGCCCCTTGCTGATCCGGGCTTTTTCCAGGTTTGGGAAGTAGTTTCTGTCTCGCTTTGGTGACACCCTCCTCTCGGGCCGTTTCTTTGTTCTGCTCACCCAGTTCGACCTTCTGCGGTGGTACATTGTCTCTCCGCCCTGGAGAGATCACGAATTCCTTGCAGTTGATCACGCCAACCTGTGGAGGCGTGCTCTGGATGGTTGGCACCAACATATTGCCCGAATCTTGAGTCAGCGTGGTGACTTCATTGGATTGGCTGGCCTTGGCCATCTTTGCCAACAGCCCATTCCTCCTCTCTCCCTGATTGAAAATGCGCAACTTGCCGCTTTGCGTGAGGGGGCCTTCATCACGGCCAAAGAGCAACGGCGATTCGACAACTCTGCCTCGGGTTTCTGTTTATCATGCCACTTTACGCGCAGCCCATCACGACATTTGAGGCCTGGCTTGCCCATCTACCTCACGCATCTCATGCCGCCCAGTAATCCTTTCCATTGCTCTCAGGCAGGAGCCTGAGGCAGCTCCTCCTTGTGATGCCTACCTTCTTCCTGCGGCAGTGGCCGCGTCCTCACCGCACGGCTCCTGTTACAGGGTTGATCACCCCAACCTGGCGGTCGCGGGCTGGGCCGCTCTCGAGGCTTCTGCAGCTCAGCTCATTGGCTATGGCCTCTCGTCGGCGGCCATCAAACCACCAACAAATCAGAACTCACCGCAGTTCTGGCAACCTCGTTCTGGTTGGTCCATCACTGAAGCTACCATCGTTTAGGGTTTCGGGCTTAGGGGTTTAGGGTAGAGGGTTGAGGGTTCACTTCTCATGGGTGCAGCAGCTTCATCAACTTCAGGCTCTTCATTTGGCAGTTTGCAACTGCACGATCTGCGGCTCAACCTGTTACGCATTTGCTGGATGAGGGCGAAGCTTCGGAATGCTCAGGGTTACCTATTTGGACGCATGGGCCTTATTGGCTTGATACTATTGCAGATGATTGGGAGCTTCAGTTGGACCGCCATCATGAACTGCGGCGGTTGGCACCGGCGTTCTGGAAGAGGCTCTGATGCGGGACTTGTAGAATTCATGTTTTGGAACTGATATTTTTGGTGCATGGTTTGGAGATCCGCGGGCCTTTTCCGCAACACGCGGGTTTCGGACGGCCAACGATGTCTCGAGACCGATCCGGTAGGAAAGACAGAAAACACCGCGTCGCACCGCTTGCTGCTGTGCGGCGGCAGAGAAGCTGCGAATGAATGCATGAATGGATGAATGAAGGAAGGAAGGAAGGAAGGAATGCATGAATGAATGAATGAAATGAATGAATGCATGAAATGAAATGAAAGAATGAATGAATGAATGAATGAATGAATGAATTGAAATGAATTGAATTGAATTGAATTGAAATGAATGAAATGAATGAAATGAAATGAAATGAAATCAAATGAAATGAAATGAAATGAAATGAAATGAAATGAAATGAATGAATGAATGAATGAATGAAATGAATGAAATGAATGAAATGAATGAAATGAATGAAATGAATGAAATCAATGGAATCAATGAAATGAAATGAAATGAAATGAAATGAAATGAAATGAAATGAAATGAATGAAATCAATGAAATCAATGAAATCAATGAAATCAATGAATGAATGAATGAATGAATGAATGAATGAATGAATGAATGAATGAATGAATGAATGAATGAATGAAAGAAATGAAATGAATGAATGAATGAAATGAAATAAATGAATGAATGAATGAATGAATGAATGACTGAATGAATGAATGAATGAATGAATGAATGAATGAATGAATGAATGAATAAATGAATGAAATGAATGAAATGAATGAAATGAATGAAATGAATGAAATGAATGAAATGAATGAAATGAATGAAATGAGTGAAATGAATGAAATGAATGAAATGAATGAAATGAATGAAATGAATGAAATGAATGAAATGAATGAATGAATGAATGAATGAATGAATGATTGCATGAATGAATGAATGAATGAATGAATGAATGAGCCTGTTGGATTAATGAATGAACCTGTTGGTGCCCAACGAAAATAATGGTTTTTCCTTGATTGCACCTTAAGCACAGGTTTGGAAATTTCAAGTTGGCAGGTGACTCGGTATCCAGGGAATCCGCTTGAAATCAAAGCAGGGGTATCACAAGGGTCATTTTACGTGTCCTCTGCACTGAAAAGCTGTGTTTTGCCAGAGAGGTAGACTCCTTTAAATCGCTTCGAGATCTCAAGAATTAACATCATCCCTTGCGGTTGTGCCCATTGGAACAAGAGCCGCTGTTCTGAATTTCTGACCGGCCAAGCAAAAGTTATTTACTTTCTGAGTGTGCAGAAATATGTGTATATATAGGTGTATATATATATAGATAAATCAAAAAGGCGATACATGTAAAACTATGGAGTTATTGAGAAACACCTGTGAGCAATGGTCAAGATTGACTGTAATCTACCTGCAGTACTTGACTGTTCTTTAACGTGGCTTTTAATCGTGTAACTGCTTGACATGCGTTGTTTTCTTTGCACTAACTCCCTTCTGCGTGGACATTCTCATGGAAAACAGCCGATGAAGTTGCGGGCCTGCTGTTTGTCCCCAGAACGCCAAAAAAGCCAATGGGCAAAGCCGAGGAATATATACATCAAACAAGAGAAGAGCGGAATATGGTGTTCCTTGTCAAGAGTATTTTTAGGGGAGTGGTTTAAAGACAAACCCGAGGGAAACTGAATCATGCCCATTTCAGAGGGAGGGCCAAAATCAAAAATCATTCCGAGACCCACCTGTTTCGAGCCTTAACCCTTTCAAGTGGGACTTGCGGGCCTGAGAAATCCCAGATTTTCACATCCTCGCAAAAAATAGATCCCTGGAACCTCGCAGACATCTTCGTGAGTTGTGTATTTTGTTTCATGTGTTCAAGAGTTTGTTTCCCAAGTTAGGGAGAACTTGACGCCAAGGGTTCTCCATGTTGGATCCATGGATCCGTCCGAGGTGAGGGTGGTCCTTTGCTGCCTCCGGGCCTCCACTCCTGGCTCACCTCGCAGAAGGCTTTTGGGATGGCGATCAACGATCGGAAGCCGTGGAACAGGTGGTTTTTTCAGAAGGGGGGCTGGTGTGGGTCTTCTTTCCTTCTGTTGAGCGCAAGCAACCCCTTCAGCAAAACCCCCAAGAACTGGTTTTGGATTGTTTGTTTGTGATTCCATTCGAAAATCGAAGCAACTTTGGCTGGGGGCGTTGTTCCGCGGATCCGGAAGGACTCCTTACACTTGGTTTTCCGATTTTGGACCGTCGCAAAAGGTGATTGCCTTGTACCTTTGGGAGGGTGGAGTGAACATTACGGACCAGTGTCGGCCATAAGTTCTGATTTTCAGGTCTTGATGCTGACGTAGCTGTTTGCTGATTTGACTCAAGGTTTGGCTCAAGCCGATGTGCCAGCACCAAGGTTTTACCGGTATGCTAGACCTTGACTCGGAGAGGTATGGCTTAACAAATGCTGAAATGAAGGAGTTCCTTCACTTAAGCAACTAAGCACGTGCCTAGTGGTTCAACACATCATTGCCCTGCGCCTGGGCTGCAATGCGCAGTTGCCAGCCATCTTGGTTCAATCACAGACCGAGTAAATCTGCTGCTCGGTGATATCCCACGTTCGCCGGCAGGTTTCCATCACAGACTTCCTAGACCTAGACTTTAAGTTTTTTGGGGATCATCATGTTGCTTGACTTGAGCAAATCACATCGCCGTTTTGCGCAACCAGCGCCCAGAACGCCGCGGAGAAGCCCGTTCCAGGGTATAGCGCGATCCAGCCGAGATCCGGCTGCGATCGTCCCCTGTAAGCTATACAGCCCGCGACAGGTTGCTTGCAACGGAATATGTGCACGCTGCTGGATGAGTGTTGGATGGCACCATGAGGTGCATTATGTGTCCTTGGGCAAAGCATGGAGCCATTGGATTAGTAGCAAGCTTCGCCGCTGCAAGACGCAGGACTGCTGATTAGTGCGTGATCTCCGACCTTTTGAGTTGGACGCCTTGTCTTGCAGCACCGCCAGAGCTTTCAATGATTCCAGGATGCAGTCTTTGTCCCACATCTGCTTGAGTGGCTGGAAACAGGTTGGACGCATTGCTCTGCAGAAGCGTCTTCCGAGCAGTTCTGCTTTCAAGGCTGGCACGGTTTGAGGTTCAATTCAATGCTCAGTCTTGGTGTAGCATTTGCATCACTGGCTGGCTTCACATCAAGATAGCTCGCAACAGGTTGCTTGGAACGGAATTTGTGCACGCTGCTGGATGAGTGTTGGACGGCGTTATGAGGTGCATTATGTTTCTTTGGGCAAAGCATGGAGCCATTGGACCCAGCCAACTCGGGTCGTCCCAGAGCCTCGTAGCAAGCTTCGCCGCTGCTAGACGCAGGACTGCTGACCAGTGCGTGATCTCCGAGCTTTTGAGTTGGACGCCTTGTCTTGCAGCACCGCCAGAGCTTTCAAAACTACCGCTGGCGCACGCTGAGAGTTGATTCCAGGATGCAGTCTTTGCTTGTTCCGCAAAACTGCTCTCTGGAGGAGTACTCAGAGTGCCCTGCGGTAGAAGCCTGTGGGGAAGAACTTGCTCGGGTCCGTGCTGTTTTTGGCTTTCGTGCGCCGTGAGGGACCTGCAGTTCACAGCTCACGGGGACAGGGGTTTGATAGGATGTGAAAAGGGGCTGGGGGGTGAAGCTGCATACATTCAGACGCTTTGCTGGGAGCGGGATGTGTTCAATCCCTTTTGCGTACTTGTGCCAAAGATGCTGGGGCCCTGTCCCCACCGAAAGTTGTGATTTGCTGGAGAACATGCTCAAACTCTGGCTGGCAGACGCAGTGCTCACGCCTTCAAGGTTGAGTCACATACTTTTCAGTGCCGGCAGAGCCGCGACTTCCCGGCAATTATGCTTGCAAGGCTTATCATTTGCTGGAGTGGCCGGCTTCGAATCAAGATAGCTCGCAACAGGTTGCTTGGAACGGAATATGTGTCTGCTGCTGGATGAGTGCTGGATGGCGCCATGAGGTGTGTTATGTTTCCTTGGGCAAAGCATGGAGCCATTGGACCCAGCCAACTTGGGTCGTCCCAGAGCCTCGCCGCAGGACTGCTGATTAGTGCGTGATCTCCGACCTTTTGAGTTGGACGCCTTGTCTTGCAGCACCGCCAGAGCTTTCAATGATTCCAGGATGCAGTCTTTGTCCCACATCTGCTTGAGTGGCTGGAAACAGGTTGGACGCATTGCTCTGCAGAAGCGTCTTCTGAGCAGTTCTGCTTTCAAGGCTGGCACAGTTTGAGGTTCAATTCAATGCTCAGTTTTGGTCTATCATTTGCTGGAGTGGCTGGCTTGATCAAGATAGCTCGCAACAGGTTGCTTGGAACCGGAATTTGTGCACGCTGCTGGATGAGTGTTGGACGGCACCATGAGGCGCAATATGTTTCCTTGGGCAAAGCATGGAGGCATTGGACCCAGCCAACTTGGGTCGTCCCAGAGCCTCGTAGCAAGCTTCGCCGCTGCTAGACGCAGGACTGCTGACCAGTGCGTGATCTCCGAGCTCTTGAGTTGGACGCCTTGTCTTGCAGCACCGCCAGAGCTTTCAAAACTACCGCTGGCGCACGCTGAGAGTTGATTCCAGGATGCAGTCTTTGCTTGTTCCGCAAAACTGCTCTCTGGAGGAGTACTCAGAGTGCCCTGCGGTAGAAGCCTGTGGGGAAGAACTTGCTTGGGTCCGTGCTGCTTTTGGCTTTCGTGGGCAGTGAGGGACCTGCAGTTCACAGCTCACGGGGACAGGGGTTTGATAGGATGTGAAAAGGGGCTCAGACGCTTTGCTGGGAGCGGGATGTGTTCAACCCCCTTCACTTGCTTCTGCCTAAGATGCTTGGGCCCTGTTCCCACCAAAAATTGTGCTTTGCGGGAGAACATGCTCAAACTCTGGCTGGCAGACGCAGTGCTCACGCCGTTAAGGTTGACTGCCATACCCTGCAGCGTCGGCAGAGCTGCGACTTCCGGCAAATATGCTTGCAAGGCTTTTCATTTGCTGGAGTGGCCGGCTTCATCAAGATAGCTCGCAACAGGTTGCTTGAAAATAGAATTTGTGCACGCTGCTGGATGAGTGTTGGACGGCGTTATGAGGTGTGTTATGTTTCCTTGAGCAAAGAATGGAGCCATTGGACCCAGCCAACTCGGGTCGTCCCAGCGCCTCGTAGCAAGCTTCGCCGCTGCTAGACGCAGGACTGCTGACCAGTGCGTGATCTCCGAGCTTTTGAGTTGGACGCCTTGTCTTGCAGCACCGCCAGAGCTTTCAAGACTACCGCTGGCGCACGCTGAGAGTTGATTCCAAAATGCAGTCTTTGCTTGTTCCGCAAAACTGCTCTCTGGAGGAGTACTCAGAGTGCCCTGCGGTAGAAGCCTGTGGGGAAGAACTTGCTCGGGTCCGTGCTGCTTTTGGCTTTCGTGCGCCGTGAGGGACCTGCAGTTCACAGCTCACGGGGACACGGGTTTTATAGGATGTGAAAAGGGGCTCAGACGCTTTGCTGGGAGCGGGATGTGTTCAATCCCCTTCACTTGCTTCTGCCTAAGATGCTTGGGCCCTGTCCCCACCAAAAATTGTGCTTTGCGGGAGAACATGCTCAAACTCTGGCTGGCAGACGCAGTGCTCACGCCGTTAAGGTTGACTGCCATACCCTGCAGCGTCGGCAGAGCTGCGACTTCCGGCAAATATGCTTGCAAGGCTTTTCATTTGCTGGAGTGGCCGGCTTCATCAAGATAGCTCGCAACAGGTTGCTTGAAAATAGAATTTGTGCACGCTGCTGGATGAGTGTTGGACGGCGTTATGAGGTGTGTTATGTTTGCTTGAGCAAAGAATGGAGCCATTGGACCCAGCCAACTCGGGTCGTTCCAGAGCCTCGTAGCAAGCTTCGCCACTGGTGCTAGACGCACGACTGCTGACCTAGTTGGACGCCTTGTCTTGCAGCACCGCCAGAGCTTGCAAGGCTGGCGCTGGCGAAGGCTGAGAGTTGATTTGAAGATGCAGTCTTTGTCACACATCTGCTTGAGTGGCTGATAAAACGTTGCTCGGAATAGGATATGTTTATGCTTGCTGGACGAGTGCCGGAGGTCACCATGAGGCGAATGCTGTTGCCTGGGGCAGCCGCAGCTTTCCGGCAATTCCGCTTGCAAGGTTGTTGGTTATCATACTGGCGCGCGCTGAGAGTTGATTCCAGGATGCAGTTTTTGCTTGTTCCGCAAAACTACTCTCTGGACGAGTACTCACAGTGCCTTGCGCAGTGGTTTGTAGAAGCCTCTGGGGAAGAAGTTGCTTGCATTCGTGTGGGCCGTGTTCACAGCTCACGGGGACAGGGGTTCTATAGGATGTGAAAAGGGGCTGGGGGGGTGAAGCCGCATGCACTCAGTCGCTTTGCTGGGAGCGGGATGTGTTCAATCCCCTTTACTTGCTTCTGCCTAAGATGCTTGGGCCCTGTTCCCACCAAAAATTGTGATTTGCGGGAGAACATGCTCAAACTCTGGCTGGCAGACGCACTGCTCACGCCTTCAAGGTTGAGTGCCATACCCTGCAGCGTCGGCGGAGCTGCGACTTCCCAGCAATTATGCTTGCAAGGCTTGCTATCATTTGCTGGAGTGGCTGGCTTCACATCAAGATAGCTCGCAACAGGTTGCTTGGAACGGAATATGTGTATGCTGCTGGATGAGTGCTGGATGGCACCATGAGGTGCATTATGTTTCCTTGGGCAAAGCATGGAGCCATTGGACCCAGCCAACTCGGGTCGTCCCACAGCCTCGTAGCAAGCTTTGCCGCGGCTGCTAGACGCAGGACTGCTGTCCTGGGCGTGCTCTCCGGCCTTTTGAGTTGGACGCCTTGCACGCCTTGGCTTTCAAGGCTGGCGCTGGCGCACGCTGAGAGTTGATTTGAGGATGCAGTCTTTGTCACACATTTGCTTGAGTGGCTGATACCAGGTTCCTCGGAATAGGCTAATGGCAGCATGATGTGTATGTTTCCTTAAGCAAAGCCTGGAGCCATTG